CAGAGGTGGTTATGACGTATGAACTGAAGCAATCAGGCACTGTGTGTCATGATGTCATGGCTCTTAGTTACCATCTTAGTTGAACTGTTTGTGATTTGCTGAATATCAAAACATGAAAGATGGAAATTTGAGTGTCAGCATTTTCTAACAGTGGGGGCAGATAGGTGCATGCTTGACATCAGACTGTGATTTAATCAAGTGAGTCAGTTGTGTCTCACTGTCTCAGTGATTGCTCAATACTTTGTATTCTGGTTGCACACATTGCTATAGTCCTTCATAACTGAACCGTACAGTGTAACTCACTGTTCAAATGCCCAACCGTAAACCCAAGGGGATCATTTCACATGACTACATCGAACTTAAAGATGAAAAATACATACGGAGGCTGAGACGTCTCAACAGGTTAAAAGTCAAAAACCTAGAATAACAAATACTTCTTAAGCCAAGCTAATATGAATAATACAACAGTAACACAGGTAACTTCAGGCAACAGGGAACAGCATGATATTGTATTTAAAGGTGCCTTATGGTGGTTCTATGAAGTGACACTTTTCCTTGGGTTAGTTAGTCTTAGTTTTGTTTATCATGCACTAGTAGCCACATGCATGATTCATTACACAGCATTCCTACCAGCAGGGTTAGATTTTCCAACTGATAATACGTCTCAGAAAAAGAGTTCCCAGTTCTTTTTTTTAAAAATAGGTAATTCATCATCGACATTCCTTATTTAAAAATAAAGAATGTGTATGATAACAGTTGATTGCAGATCAAACTTTTTCTTTGACAAAGCAGATACAAGCTTGACAAATGCCAGTCCAGAAATCTCTTTTTAGTTCTGTTTTTCATTTCCAACACTATTGTCTCTTTATCTTTGTCCATCTACTGAGAGCAGGTATGAAGCAGGTATTTATAGCATGTTCGGCTACACGTTGCAGCCAAGGACAGCAAGACAAAGCTCTGTGAGCGTGAACCCGAACAGTACAGCAGTGAGCTGAGTGACTAAACAATGGACTGAAACTGGCTTTTAAGATCTGTGAAGCCATCAGTTTCTGTTTAGTTCAATTTAAAGATATAAGTTCACGCTATAGTTGTAAAGCCCTCTAATGTACCACACCATATAAAAACAGGTATGCCATGACTAACTTGCACAGTATCCCCTCCTGCCTGTTTATGCCTTTTTGTCTTTGACTTTGTTGTAATGGTTATGCATGTGCAGGCAAGATATATTTTTCCAGCGGCCATTTCCTGTTACGTTTTATGATAATGCTGCCAGACCCCAAGGGAGGGTGATCTCTGCAGCCCAGAGCTGGGAAAATGCAACACAACAAAAATGGTCTGACCAGAAGTCCAAAGGCTATCTGTGTGCAGTCGGCCTCCTGGGACACATTTATTCTTTGACCTTTAACACATAAAATAACTCAGAGCAAACGAACACAGCCCTGATAACAGAGCACTGACATGAAGACAGCCAATGCTGAACTGTCGCACATCAACACACAATCACATTCTCTGCCAGACGAGTGAAAATTTAACAAAAGCCTGCAGCATATGACCTACATTGCATTCAACTTTAACTTGTCCAAATAAAAAACAGAGCACTTAAGCTCATTCCAGCTAAACACACCCTTTCAGACAGCTCCATCTGCAGCTTTGGATTATCACAGGGGAATGCTATTTGGGGTGGGAGCCTTCACAAAGAAAAAACTGGGATATCCTTCAAAACAACCATTATCACTTGCATAACACTATCAGTTTCCCATGTATTTTGATGGTTTAAGCACCTCATAGCAAATACTGGAGGCCTTCCTGCAGCCTTGGTTTAATATCCCACTACAGTAAGAACACTGAACTCACAGAGGCTGACCGGGAGCCTCAGACATTCCAGCAGAGAGAGAGTGTGGACGGATTTGGACTGGCTCCAAGACAGTTTTCCTCCTTGTGTGAGTTTCCCTTATAAGTCCTTTGTTAAACATACAGTACACAAAAGACTAGGACAGCTAACAAAACAGTAACAGCAGACATGCTTTTATATCTATAGAGAGGGGGGTCACAAACAAAACAAAACACACGTGGACACTTTTGTTACTCAGCACAAACCATTACACAAGCACACAGACACACTTTTACTACACACCTGCTCCTCCACTGCCACATCCTGCAGAGCCGGGGTGTCCCGTGGGCCTCGGATCCAGCTCAGTATCTGACCCATGTTGGCTGAACGTGTCTCCGAGTGTTCGTTTGTGTGAGTGTGTGTGTGTGTGTGTGCGCGCGTGTGTCAGCCTCTGGCTTGTCTGTCGGCTTGCAGCATGTTTCCCTGCAGCAAACGGGGAATGGACCCAGACAGAGAAAAGGGGAGGGCAGAAGGACTAAACTGGGCGTAGTCAGGGAGAAGAGGATCTGATGTGGAAGTCACAACCGGGAGGGGCGTAACTCTCCGGGCTATACTAGGAAGTGAGCTGACCATGGGCTGACACCCACTTAAAGGGGGGGGGCAACATGTGAGCTTCTGCTTGGGGAAATAGATCCAGCTTTAACGCACACGGGGGCACACATGTACGAAGATATGCACGCACAGGCAGGTGTGTGGTTTTAAAGAATTTTCTCAGCATACCTAAAACAGAACCGGTTTTATTTGGGACAATGTTCAAGTTACACATTAGCAAGAACACATCTAGATATATGATAGTGCACGAGCCTTGAGCACACATGGGCACATACGTCTATCCACACTGCATATATAAAACAAGAGGCCAACTTTTATATTCTGCCTGTGTCAGCTATTTTCCATGAGAGAAGAGGCCGAAGCCGAAATCTTCAATTCTTTTCTGTATTGCAGTAATAAAATCTGCGAAGGATAATGGCAGGAAGAGATACTGTTTAGATGCAGGCTAATCTCAACATCTAGTAGAGCCAAAGAAAACCTGTCTGATGACAACAGAGGAGATTTCATCATGTCTCTCTGCACCACGGCCTGAGCAACAAAGAAAGTGTGTTAAAGAGGAATGTAGGGAGTGTCTCTGTGAACACATGACTGAAGCATAAAACACGGGTGTTGGGCTTCTGAAACTTCACCAGTGTGGTCCCTTTTTTCAACTTTATTAATAAGAATTATCCGAGAAGAACTGTGGAAAACGTGAAAAGTAAACTGAGAAACATCGGAAGGCAATTAAGTTGCAAAGGTGATGAAAACCAATGAAAGTGCAATCCCATCCATACCTATGGGGTTGTACCTCACCTGTAAAGTGTGAGTTTATCTGTCTCTTTGGGTAGTTCTTGGGTGGGGTGTGCAAACAGTGCAGCCCCTGAGTGAATCACTGTGATGGAATCAGTCTGACAGCCAAGCCTTTCACTTTTCGAGCGTTTTAACGGCACACCTTGGAAAAATATGACAATCACACACCCTACCACTAATTACTTTAAATCAAACAGACAGAAACTGACACTCCTATTTGATCTGCAGAAAGCTACGTGGTGAATCGGCCCTTTATGCACAAAGCATTTTTTCAATTTTACAATGCAACGCGGTACTGATGATAACACTCTCGCCTGAGAAACCCCATCACCGGCTTTGTTTTTTAAAAAGGGCATAACCTTGTAAATGCATGCCATCTGACACTATTAAAAACAGATTAAATCAACAAACACTATGAGCTAGAGACCATCTGTACCTGTGAATATTTATATTATTGTACCTAATATATTATTGGGAAAGTACTCAGGGAGATATGAGGTGTCTCCAGGATCATATTGTGCAATGATGGTGCATGCACAGAGACACACAGGCTGTTCATAACTCATTACACACCCTTTGAGACTGACATATCTCTTTCAAAGTGTCAACTGATCAACCCTGTAAAACTAGCTCATCAACCATGTGAAGCAAACTATCCATTCCCATAACCTCTCAAAAACTGGTGTGAACCTGCAGCGGTTGTGTGGCATGTGGTAGTCTTTTTTTTAAAAAAAAACTTTTTCACCTAGACTGAGGTTATCAGAGAATCAGCAGATAGCAGTATGCTCAACATATTTAACTGTGTCAGAAAACAAAATAGCAGATGTTGTCACCAACGTGCTGGTGTAAGAGAGCATAAAGTGGGTAACTGGACTCCCTGTGACCAAAGTGGCATTCATCTTTATATTTAGATCCACGCTGCACTTCGGTCACCTATAAGCTCCTCCTGTCTAGCTGCATCAAATGTATGGACCATGATCAGATGTCGACAGAAGCCTGTGTTTTCTTTTTCTTTTTCTTTTTTAGAAAACAAGAATAACAGAATTTATATTGTGCTGCAGCTAAAGATACTTAAAAGTTATTACAGGTAAAAGTGATCATTGATAAATGGCTTCACGTGTGATTCCTGAAGTCGTCAGCCACAGTAAATTACTCTTAACAATCACAAACATGTACATTTTTTTTTTTATTTAAGTAGCAGGTTTAATAAGCGTGCAGGCTCATTGTGTCTCCTGATTTTTGGGGTAACAAAAAAGACATGCAGTCCTTAAACATCTGCAGCCAAAAGCTGCACTGCAATCAGCAGAGGGAGACAAACACAAAGAGTTGAGTTTTGTTCCCATCCGTCCTGCAACTCCAACTCTTGACCCACAAAGAAAAACAAAGATAAGATAGATCTGAAATATTCAAAATGTCTGGAAAGGCCACAGTCTAATTTTGAGGCTCTGATAGCAACCGCAGCTGAAAATTCAAACTGTAAATATTGTCACCTACTTGTTTGCATCTACATTAACAGGCCAATGGGTTCAGCTGAAATTCTGCTGCACAGCGGTGATTCTTTTTTACAGCTACACTTCTACTTGTATCCACTCTCAGTTACTGGGCAGTGTTGAGAGACAAAAATCACACAGCAGCCTCTATCTTTTAATGTATCCTGTGAGGTTTACATGGAGCAAAGTAGCTTACTGCATCCCCGCCCTGTTTTAACCTTGAGCTGCAGAACATTGCTGAAGGCATTGTGTCATTCAGGAGAAAATGAAGTCAGTACCTTGTCATAGTAGGACCCTGCAGTGGGATAGAAGGCTGAAGTCTGTCTACTCTTTTTGACTTCAGCTGTGCAAGGATCTGCTTTTCCATGCTACAAACACACACACACACACGCAACAGTTTGTTAGGGCTTTGAAGGGTCAGTCAGTTGTTGGCATTAAATTAAACAGAACTTCTGGACAGGAAGCAGTGATTTCAGTCTATTGTGTTACTGTGTTGGTGCCTTATTTTCTAGCTTTCCCTCTTTTTCTTTTTCTTTTTTTGTAACATTTTTGTAATATTCTTAACTGTGAAAAAGGTCGGCTCAAATAGATTTTCATAGTTTGTAGCATTAAGGTATGTAAGCAAGATAACACCTGCTCATTAATTGCATTAGTTAAATGTTTATTATTGATATGCAACAGTACCGAGACACAATAACTGGAGATAATCCAGATCTGAAACGTGAGGGCTGAAGGCCGTTTAAACAGCCACACGCCCTCATGTATGAATAGTGTTTGACAAAAAGTGGGTGAAGTCTTTTCAGCACTTTATTTCGGTTTTAACAATATCTTGTACAGCCCACAGAGCATCCAGAACCGCTCCTACACTTTCAGACTAGCTGTTCGTGTTTTCTGCAATAAAAGCACACCTGGCGTCTAAAAGGGTGCCAAGATTTACTTTGAAAGTGCTAATGCCAGAGGCTCAAATAAAAGAAAGAGGGAGAGGAAGGTAAAGGGGAAAAAAGAGGGAGATGTACTCACAGTACTGCTCCAGTATGCCGCATACGCCATGAGAGAGCGGGAGGTGAAAACAACTGTCCGAAATAAAACTTCCACTCTGCTACAATGCCGCTCTCTCCTGTCCTCACTGACAGATATCTTTTCTCATACCTTGCCGAACAGAGCGCCACTCCCAGCAGACACCAAATTATCGCCACACACTTCTGTCCGGGGTGCAATTTCTGACTCAGAGAGATTACAAAAGAATTTCACTCTCTAAATTTGTTTCCAGTGAAATGTTCTGGTTCTTGCGCATAAACAAAAACAATCCAGCATTAACCTGTAGGCCTGGCATTAAACCACCCCACTGACTCACATCACCACAAACACACACGGTTATATTTCCAAAGAAGGAACTTCGTGAGTCTCTATTGTGCTTGTTTCCGACTCAGTGGTACGCGCTACCAGGGGGGCTTTACGCAATAGCACAATGACCCTGTGGTTACAAAAGACGACATGAAAGCCTTATAGGCATTTGGCACTGGCAAATCATTCGTGACGCCGAGTAAAACCAATTACTGACATTATAGATAAACAATGAGCCCTGAGCAATTCCTCTGCAAACGATGACACAGCCACGCTCTAACATGTGCAGAACACAGTTTCTCGCTTGAGCACATATATGGCAATGGGATGCAGTTTATCAGGTTAAATCAGTATCAACACTTCTGCAGCTTTGTGTAAGAATAATCAGCTTTGATATATCGGAGATGTTTACATCTTTAAACACATTAACTGAATTCCGCATGTCTCTAAAAACGGAAAACCCCTACCTCGTCCTTTGCTTCCTTTGTAGCTTTATGATGGCCATGGCTTCTCTTCTTATGTGGCATCTTCAAAAATCTAACTGGATGAACTTCTATCCAAGGTTTCGTTAGTGCCCTCAGTTCTCTTTGGGAAATCAAACTCTACAGACTGACACGCAGCCTTTGGTTTTAATTAGGCTGCCCCTCCCGCTGAAAGCGCTTTCGTCCTTGATGATTGAAGTAGTTGGCAGAAGATTTCTCAACGTGGAGTTTATTTAATCGCGTAAGCATGTAAGGTCTCGTTGGTCTGCTGCTTTTTAGGATTTATAGCGCAGACTGGTCCAGAAACTAAGCCAAAAGTTACCCAAGTACACACAAAACTCTAATTTGATCACGTGAATGGGAAGACTCAGTGTTCAGCGGGAATGACTGGGATCGATTGGCATTCACAAATGTATTCTTTTGCATTTTAAACAAGTATCCAACACATTCGCTTCAGTTTGGGTGTGTGAGAGGAAACGCCCCACAGTTCCAGGAAGAGTTGACTCACCCCTGGTTATGTTTTCCCTTCCCAGCAAGATGTTTTTTTACGAGGCACAATGCTGCCCTCTGCTGGCTAAACCGTCTGGGTCAACACGAAGCAACAGCAGCAGCAGGTTTGAATACAGTGTTCAGTGACGAAATTAGCCGTTTCTATCGCGATGTTATTGGTTGTCAATTCTTATCTAGTTTCTACGTGACAGGAAAAATGTCCAGTGTTAAAATGTATTTACTTATAATTGCATTTAATCATATTATAAGTAATGCTCTTACATTTTGAAAACCGCTGCAACGCTTTCAGTATAATGAATAATGTGAATGTTTGACAAGAGGTTTTGGTTTTGGCCTTCACCTGAGTGAACATAAAACATTTAACAGACAACATTTTCAGGGGAAAAAAGTGGTATGAAGTAGGGGGACAAAGAACAAAAGCTTATTTTGATTGCTCTGAAAGAATCTCGTTTGAATTTAAATCGGCAGACACCGCATGGCCTTCACGAGGCAATCCTCCGTGAGATTTTGTGTCCCTTTTACGGTTTTGTGCCAAAAAGTTCTCTTTAGAAAAAACCCCTCCATATTTTCTTCTAGATAGCATGTAGTCATCGTGTTTTATGAAGGGATTATATATAAAATAAAGAGATGTAGAAAGTATCTTTAAGACTCTTTTTTAAAATCTACATTATAATAAATTCAGTGTTTTTTGGCCATTAAAAATCTTTATAGAACTGTGATAATATATTTTTGGCAATTTCTGCTTCCCCGTTGGCCAAACCTTGAAAAAAATGTCAGTGGAACTTCTTATCTGTAATAAATAAAGGACAAAATCATGTTGCAAAAAAACTGCTGCATCTTTTAACTTATGACATGAATATTCTTTCTGGCTCAAAATGACTTGATATTATTCATAAATGATATGTGTAACTGCTCATAGGTCAATAAGTCATTTACAACAGTTTTTGGCACAAACTGGGGTGCTTCACGTGTAGGGCAAATGTGCAAACCAACGCTCAGTCATGTTGAGTAAATATCAGGTGATGGGGCTCCTTCAATGACGTGACAGCATGGAAAAATATTTTGTTTACACAAGCACCAACTCACTAGGGTTTAGCTATGTCAGCTTTTTTCCACCCTTTAAGCACTAAGTTGGTTGTAGCATTAAGAAGGTTACTGATTACACTGCAAATTAAGTATCACACAAGATGAAGACCGTTTAAAGATGATCTGTTGAATGCACTTCTCTAATGTATAATATAAATATATATCCTTCTTTGAGAGTTGTTTTTCCATAATAAGCAGTAATGATAACGTTAAAACTGTCAACAATACATACATAGATACATACTGGCATAAACTAAATTTTGTATGCAGCGGACATGCAGATTAGATTAAATAAGCCTGAATTGGATATTCTGTAGTCTCTTTTATCTATTTGCTTTCTCCAGCGACTCCTAATCACACATTTTCTGACATCATAGATGTTGAATTTTTTGCAGATTAATGCGAGATTGTTCTCCATGCCTAATATGTTCATGTCAGTGACACATCGATTTAAAACATTTCGTTTTAAATGTATGGGTCATTGTCCACCCATTTCCACATACACCACTGCTCAGGGTAATTTTTTTTCAGGACTGCTTTTGTGTTTATGAAGTTGTTTGCTTTAAATAATGAGAAACTATCAGAACAGAGGATTTGACTGACATGTACAGAAACAGTCTTCTTCTGTAAATTAAAAGAGACCACTAGATAAGACACCAAAGAAGTCTACAAAGACGATTGCACCCCACTGAGTTGCACTTCCTGTCTAATCTACTACCCGTCAGCACCAAGCCTTTTCCACATTTTATCTACTTCCTGTAAATCTATGCTTCCCGCATCTCTGTTTTTCAGTGCTGACATCCCTGAAGTGACGTGACTGACTAACATGTCCGAACAACACTCTGATGGCCTTTAGAGACAAAGTCCGTTTGACACCTGCATGTCCCGATAACAGTTTAAACTCCATCACACCCCCACATCAATCAACTGTTTCCTCACTCTATCACCTGCAAAGTGAGGCTAATCTGTCTGACACCAGAAAGACAATTTCACAGCACCCTCTGATAGCACATGGCATTTGTGCAGCGTTGATTGAACTTTGGGGACGTGAATGACTTTATCAAAATCTTAACCTTTGCTTTGGTTAACAGTTTAGGTTTTCTTATATTCATTTACAATAGCTAAAAGATTACAGCAAACATTGCGTCAAAATAGTGCAACATTGTCTCCACAAAGCAAGGTTCAGATTGCAAAATGTGGCTGGGGACGTTTCTCAGTGATGACTAGTTAAATTGCAGTTGTAGTGTTTTCTCCTAATAGCATTTTTGTTTCGGCCAAGAGCTTTATATCTGAAAATCATCATTACAGATTACATTACATTTTGGGATGTTCAGTAGTATTTACAGGGCAGCATTACAGGTCTTATTAGCTTTTGTCTGCACAGCATGTCTGTGTAAAAATGTCGCACTATGACTTCAGCTAAGCAATAATCTGACCAACACGTGACACATGCAATGTAATAAAGGAGACACTTATGAACTTATTTCAAATGAACTGTAGTCCTTCTAGACAACTTATTGAGACGTGTGGGTGAAGATGTGTCACACGCTTGTAATGTGGGTTGGCATGGCAACCATGTGTCACAGGCTGCAGATTCCATTGGTTACTAACTTGTATAACTTGTAAGGCATCTCCTCATGTCACAAGTATTTGCTTTGTGTTTGCTGCATAACAGACTTCAGCTGAATGCACTATGAATATAATTCATCATTAAACTATTTCATTATTGTTCATTTTTTTATGTGCTTGAAATTTGATCTGTGGCTCTTAAAAAGTAACATGCTCGTAAATCACTAAACAACCCAAAATATTGTAGCTGCCACTGAACCATGAGAGGGACAGGAAGTGCAGCTCAAGTCGTCACATCTATTTGCCACGCCTAATTGATTCGGGCTGAACATTTGTGTGTTGAGGTGGCTCTACAGCAACCTCTGCGTCAACCTCCAGCTAAAAGCTCCTGCTTTCCGTCACTGCCTGTCTGTAGAGCTGGAAAAATAATTAGCTGACGAAACACGGCGGGACCTTTGACCTCATTTCGATGAACTCATTGTGCATATCTTTTTGGTAAACTGGTGTGAGTGTCCGCTCAGCGGAATAAGGAAAGGAGGATGAGTAAGCTCACACCACTCACTGAAACACACACACATCCCAGAGATAAAGGCAGAGGATGCAGAGAATCGATGACAACCAAGTCAAAGATTCAGTGATCTGTAATGAAACCATAATCCCCTGAAATAAACTGCCCAGCTTGCTCATATTCCTGCAGCTCTTCAAGTGTGTGCCTCTGTGGTCAGAGCAAACAGTGGTTGCTAGGTAAGGATGGATTATACTGCAGATCTGGTGCAGACCTGTTTGCACACTGCCAGATGACCAGCCATATTAGTCATTATCAGCTCTGACAAGTTTAGAGCACAATGACTAACAAGCTCACTCTATAAAAAAAAAAAAGAAGGGAAAAAACAGTGTACACTGGAATGAATAAGTCCATTACTATAGTAGTGTTTTTATTTTCATGGTTCTTTTGTGGTTCTTTATTTATACAGTTTGTGTGCCATGCACTGCAGCTAAACAATTTCTATTATGTCCATAATCATGGTACTTTTGCCTCTGGGTCATTGCACCTAAATGCAATCAGAGCACACTAAAAGAGATTTTCCATTAGTAAACAAACTGAACACCATCCGTGGCTATATAACTGTTACAAATAGCTACCTGCAGTCATTGGGGCAGCATTGTATTTTTACATGGAAAAACTATTTTCTTTCTAGATTGTGCAAGACAATATTTACAACCCATATGCTGGTTTGGATTCGTTTTAATGTACCTCTGCATGTGTCACACTGTGACGACAAAATCTGAGGTTCATGTCATAAAGTCACAGGATTTATATTAAATATAAATCCAGCAACTCTGATGATGCTTCACGTAATTATTAACGCTGTTCCACATAACAACAATTCTTTCTATAATACCAAATGTTGCATGGTTTGCCTCTTTAAAAAAAAAATGTATTGTTGCATTATCTTTGACAAACTCTGTAGATAT